CCTAAAGCTGAACATCGCCTGACAGGATTCATGGCCCTCCTACACCTTAAAGCACCCAAAAAGGCAGTGGTAGAAAGCAGTAGATGAGCAGGTATTGCCATCAATCAAAGTACCTGTCATAGTATCCACATTGCAAAACAACGTGTCGTCCTGTCCTAGTAACCTTTTCAGGTGCCCCTCATGTAGTGAAGCTTATCCAGGCACTTGAGTGACCAGTTCGCGAGCAATGGTACACATCTGTCCAGCATGGAAATGCCTAACCACCACGGATACGTAACTGTGTCTATATTGTGCATGACGAAAACTGAGATTGGCAACAAACATTGCGTTGCAGGAAAGTGATCATCTCATTGTATGTTGCAAGTTGTTGCAGATGAGTTGTGCGCACTGATGAGAAGATGCACTATGTATGCCGCACATCGCATTTAGGCACAATGTTGAAAGGGCCTCTCGCTTTGCTGTTGGACATGTCTGCGGACTGTTGTACGCTTCTAGGGCATTCCCATTGCATTGTTTGGAGTATATCTGCAAGGAACTGATGTGAAATCAATATAATTGGCAGCGATGAAGCCACAGAAACACACGGGGCCTTGATGTTGCACACCACAAAACAATGCTGAGCAAATTTGGCAAGCTTGGGATTTTTCCAAATGTGCTGTAGTCGTGCCTCATAAAAGCATCAGACGTTGCTGTCAAGACGGCACGCACAGCTGCCAGATTGACCTACCAAACTCACGCCACATACAGGTATCAGATGCAGCGCAATGACCCTTCTCAGCAAGTTGCAAACAACCCAGGCATTGCTCTTACGTTCTTGAGTCGCTCGGGGCCCAGTGTGAACACATGGAGTACAGACGTGGGTTTAAGGCTGATTCCCCATATCCCTAAACTAACGACCAAAGTGCATCAACTTCCGCTGTTCGGCAGAGGTAATGCTGTCCGCAGTTCACTGTTTACCCACGCCAAGCACATCAGGTCCCCTGCCTCCGCTGCTATGCATTCGCCACTTGCATCTTCCCTCGGTGTTCAATTGGTTGAACAGCAGCAGCTGCATCTGACATTTGGCTCGCAAGGGACTAGAGAACTCACCTCAGGGGTCACTCCAGTCTCGCAGCGATACACAAGCATGGTCAAAGCATCCCTTCACACACACACGCACACAGCACGTAGATGAGTACTGCAACTAATGGCACTAGAATGCATGGAAGGACCTCCATAGAAAGGACCTCATCTGTCTGGGCCGCGTTGGCATTTCATTCCTCAAAACTACAGCGACAATGTGAAATCTGAAAAGGGAGTCAAAGCAGAGAGTGGCAGCGAGCATATTGGTGCACCTGGGCGGCTTCGGGGGTGGCGGAGGCTTCGCTGAAGCTGCCCATATGTATGATCGCAGAACACAAATACGGTAACATGCATAGCATGACACCATTGTGCGGGATGGATTGCCTGTCTCACAGCATTGGCAAGCCTTCCCGTCTTGTTGCTTGCCACCGCGGAAGCCTTTTGAGTGAAGCTGTACTGAATAAAGGAGTAAGTCAATCACAGTGGACTTTTAGCATCTGCCTCACAGTGAGATGGGCAATCCCGTTGCTGTTGTCACTGAGGAGAAGTGTGCATCCTTGCCAATACGCATGCTTCGCCAATGTATCACTAGGAAAAGGAGGGCCAAATAACACGTGTTTAAAGGTGCACAAAGTTTACGGGTTTGTGCTATTTTGTGTTCTTAGCGTGCAAAACTTTGATGAAATGTGTTTTATGTGTGTTCGCAAAAGTGTTATTTGGCCCTTTTTTTCCTAGTGGTATAGCATTGTCCTTGATTGTTTTCTCTGGTTTCATAACTTTGTTCTCATGAATGCTTCTGATATGCCCACACTGCGATGTACAACATCTGGTATGGCTGTCGCCTCCTTTTTTTTCCAGAATGCTGCTTTATGTTCATCGCATTAAATACTTGAGGTGCCATTGCGTTCCTCGCAGAAGAGATGTGGCCCTTTTAAACGCGTTGCTGTGAATTAGTGTGCACCAATTTGTGCCGCAATGAAAATGTAATGTCTTTATGTCATGCATGTGTTGTATTTGAGGACTGTGCACAGCGGTATTTTGTGGGTAAGATGGCCAAATTTGTGCACATATTATCAGAATGCAGCACATGGCAGCCACATTGTGGACATGCTGTGACAGGATGAAGCGGTGCAAGTGGGCAACTGGGGCACTTTGTTTCCTCTCGTGCTGGGAAAAGTTCTGCCCGATATTGCAGAACATGAGGCAGAAGCACTCCTGCATCGTGCAAGATTAGTGAACCAATGCTGGTGCCATTCGGCCACACAGCCGGTCAGACACCTTTGCTTCAGATCTGCTGAGTGCTTCAATGAGAAGATAGGAGACATGATCAACCGATTCACAGCTATGGAGAGGGCCACAGTGAAGATGCAGAACAATGCGGAAAAAGTGGACCTTGCATAACTCAAGCAGTTGCTTCTGCTCAGTCATCTGGAAATATAATGTGGCAAAGGCCGCACAAGGGCTGACAGCTGGACCTGCTACTTCTTAATCGTCTCCGGTGTAACAGCCGTCGTCAGCCTTGACGTTGCCGGATAGTGGAAACTCACAATCGAAGGGGTGAGGAAGCTCACAGCCTTGCCTCACAAAGCTTAGCCTGCGTGTTGGTCTCCTTCCAGAATCACCCACCAGTAGTTCAGCGTTGCTGCCATCCCTCGCCGACTTCAATCTCAAGAATAGCAGCAGCATCGCGGATATTGGCATGGGTCACTTGATGTCGTTGCGAGCTTTGACAAAACTCTAACTGTCATGGCAGTTTGGAAGCATAGGAGTTGAGACCTTGGAAACAATGACGGGGCTTGTCATAGTGGACGTGGAAATATGCAGCGGTTCTGCGGGGATGGCCTGTCTGCCAAGTCTGACGAATCTCAGGGAGATTCACCTGCCGATACACACATCAGATAAAGAACTATGATCGTTTCGAGGCCTAACCATTCTCACTCACCTCAGCTTACACTCACGCACCGTTACATGTGACTATACTTGTACAAGTATAGAACTGACAACGCTAAACAACTTTTCCAGATTGTGCCAACTTAGGTTGGTTGATGATTGTTACGTTAGTAGTGGTGGAGTCAGGAACATATGACAGCTCACTGGACTTGTTGAGTAGAATCCCCTTGGCAAGCAGGCTAGCACGGTTGGTGACAAAGGCATCGCTTGGCTTGCCAGCCTCACAAATATGACGGCCCTGCAGCTGGGTTCGGTTATTTTGATGACTAATGAAAGTCTTCCGAGCCTCAGCAACCTGACAGCGCTGGGGAGCCTTCGAATCCCCAAGTGCACAACCAATCTACCATGAGGATCATAAGCGAGGGGCTGAGCTATGCAACGTAGTCTACGTGACACGTAGCCTGCGTGTCGGCACTGATACAGCTGAGGTGTTTTGAGCTGAATGTGTCGACCACAGATTTTGGTGTGAGATGTTTGGCAACTTTGACGTCCTTGGCGGAACTAAATTTGGGACCTGGCACTTTGGGACTCCAAATCATCGATAATGGCATGGAAGAGTTGGGGAAGCTTTCCTCCCTGTCTGCTTTGCACTTGAGATGTTTTTTCAAAATCGCAAATGCTGGGGTGATTCGCCTAAGGCCTTTGTGGTGTCTTAGACACCTGAATTTGGGCCACAGCCCTAGAATGATATTGAGCATTGGGGAATTGCTGCAAGGTTGTCTTTTGCCCTTTGTATAAAGAACTCTAGAACTGAAAACCAAATCTTCAAGAGAAACGTTGTTCTCTACATCCAAGGAATTGCCGAATAGGGGATTGCTGTGATACTGGCAAAAGGTTTGGGCCAGAACTGTGTACAATGTCGCCTCCATTGTGTGCTGGTTGGATGCCGAGATGTTGTCGATGTTGTATAGAACAATAGTACCCTACATTAATATGTATTTCTGCTTGTACTTTTTGATCAACAATCATTTTGTGAAGAGGGAGGCAGCGAAATGGGAACGAGAAGGGTCTGGCTCATGTTGCTTTGTGCAGACATGTTTTGGATCCACTTTTGTGGCATGATTTGCTACTGGGCAACTTGTTGCATAGATAGGACGTAAGCACACTAGCGTATGGGGACAGGTAACATGCTGCAATTGTGGTTGGTCTATATATGGCACATTCAAGAGAGGCCAGGATTGCCGATCAGGAGCAACAACGTTGTCGTAATCTAACACTGTGCCGCAACAACAACAGGACTGGACAAATGCAGGTTTGGCATGGCACGGTGCAACATTGGCACTAGATTGGCGATAGGCAGCAGGGAGTCCCGACGTTCCACATGAATGATGTGGTGCAAACGCAGAACTGAGTGTCCTCATACCCTTCCATACAAGCGCAGATGATGTGCATGTGATGGTTTAAACCTTGCCAGAATTTACAATTTGCCAATTGGCCTATTTGCCTTTTAAGGCAAGGCTGAAGAGTGGTATGAGGAAAAGACAAACATATGCATGGAGGTGTGCCATGGCAACACACCAGCACCGCATTTGCCAGTAATTTCTTCTTATGTGTGGCAAGCATTTGTTTCTTCTCGTTACTGAGCCTTGCCCCCCGGGTGGAAAGGAGCTCCTTTCCATGCAGTAAGAAATGCAATTTTGGTTTTTTGTAGTCCACAATGTGGACTTTTGGAAAAGGATTTTCGGATTTTCGGAAAAGGCATGCGAGAGTGCGTATAATGTGGACGCCACGTGATGCGCACTCTCGCACGCCTTTTCGGAAAATGCCCCATTCTTCTTCAGAATTCACCCAGAGGCGTTCTGGCATGAAGAAAGCGGCCCCCCTTCGAATGCCGGTCCTCTGGCTGTGGCGTCCGCAACGCGCGACGACCAAACCAGCCAGCACAGCCGGACGACGTAGACAGGAGAGCGATCGCAAGGGAGCCGCCGCCGGGGAGAAGGGTAGAAGACAGGGATCCGCGAGGCCAAGGCGCCCGCTGCCGCGCGAGGATGGAATTCGAGCACGACAGGGTGAGTGGACGCCCGCCGATCCTGATGGTGCACAGGCAATCAGCCGCATGCCTCCCTTCACTGCTGAATGCGAGGGCTTGCCTCGGGGCTCGAGCCCCCAACGGGCGGCATTGGCTGTCGCAAGCTGCCCGGGTGGGGTGGCTGGGAATTGTCAGGGACAATGCGGGTGCAGCACATTCAGGCATTGGAGCGGCAAAGCCCCTTGGGGCCTTGCGACGGGCCTGGCAGCAACCCGGACACTGTTTGTGCAAGGAAACTGCCAGCCAAGGTCCGCCGAAACGCAGGCAGGAAATCTCAACGCTGAATACGTGCACTTGTGTGCTCTGATGACGTGGGGGGGTGGGCTGTTTTTCCCGAGCACTGTGAGGACATGTGTTGGCCGCTGGAAACCTAACGGTGCATGACGATGCGAGCTCAGTAGAGACAAAGCGACACGACCTATGTGCCGTACTTTCACACTGCCTTTAAGGGTACATTCTCTCGCGCAATGCCAAATCTAATAGGGGCGCCCATCGCGAAGTGTGCTTCAACCAATGCCTGTTGGATTGGCACCGCTCAGTTAATAACAGGCGCACACCCGGCCAAGACAGGCTCAACTTTTTCGCGTTTGTGCATTTCCCTGCTCACCACCTGTTGGCACGCAAGCAAGGCAAGGGCCTGTGATGGTGGGTTAATTGTCATGCTTGCAGATGAAGTGCACATCTGATGAGTCTGCAGGTGACGAGAGCAAACTGTGCAAACTGTGGGAACAAACACTTGCAAGAGGAGCAGCACCCATTGTCACCTTGTTGGGTAACGGCAGTGCCGTTACTTTGGGCAAAATATAAACAAGCTGGACTCATGCTGTTGATATGTTGAAGTCGAAAAGGCTATTTTCCTGAGCTCCCATGAGCGCTTGGACAATGTTTTGTGGCCAAACGTACGACACAAAACTAGCGTTGACTTCTTTTTGCCCTCATTCTCAGAGGATCACTGTCTATCCTGCTTACATAGACTGCAAGAAGAAGCTGGACGAGGGAAGGCGGGTCCCTAAAGACAAAGGTGGGGTTTATGCATGTCATAGGCGATGCTATCCGTCCAGATCTTGCAAGTTTTGCCACACAGCTGACAAGCAGAGTGACATTTTTGTTGACATGTGTCAAGGAATGTCTTGTGTGTGGCACAAGACAATGCAGGGCAAGTTAGCTGTTTCGATTCAGTTTATTCTGGTTTCAGTTTGTGGCGCTCCGCCCTTGGCTGCATCTTCTGCATCCCACTGTCCCACCAGATCAGCAGATGGAAAGACAAGCACAGCTGCTATTAGCCCCACAGAACATTGACAAGTGGGTTGTCAGTGCAATGTTCATAACGTGCAGATTGCTCTTGAGAGATAAGGGCATGGCCTTGCAGCCATAGGACAGTTTGTAATCGGATTTTTTCCCTCGTATCTTTGCAACTTGTTTGAAAAATTTTCCTCTTTTGCAGTTGTTTGTCCAGTGTTGTCGAATGAGACAAGTACAGTCATGGTTGACATCTACACTCACAACATTGCAATTGTCATGTCACGCAGATGAGTGTCCCATGGAATTCTGGTATGGGGACAGTAGCCTCATCGAACCCTTTTTGCTTGCCACTTTTGTTGCATGGCAGTGCTAAATCCTGCAACCAGATCAGCTATGCCAGGCACTGATCCCAGTGCGTTTCCACCCAAATTGCTCAAATAGACGTTCATTGTCAACAAGGGACATTGACAAAGGCATGTATTGGATGTTCTAGGCACATCATCGCCTGCAAGATGCAAACACTTTGTTTGTCTTGTCTCTTTGCTAATTTGCTTCATGAATTGTTGCCTCTTGTGCTGCCAATATGACAATACTGTGCTTCATGAACATCATCTTTGCAGCCAGTGTAATCATTGGGAAAACAAAGCTTCTGGAAGAAGACACTGTCGCGATTCGATTGGGGGCGGATCCTGATGATCGCTGAATAATTGCCATTTCTCACATGGGCAGTTCAATGCTACTTATGTGAAGCTGGTCTTTGTGGCGCCACACTTACCCAATCTGTGAATGTTGCACAGGTTGTGAAAATCCCACTGCCCAGGAGATCCATGATGTCTGCAAATTCTTGAAGCTCCCATCAGAATTGGAGGTGATCGACTGTGGTGTTGGCATTTTTGTGAATGGTGTGAGCTCGCTCTTGCATGTTGTTTGCTAGCCAATGTGCGGAGTATTGAAATTTTGGTCATGAGACACAAGAACAACAATGCCACCCGAAAAGCATTCAACTTCCACAACAAAGTGCAGCACTCACCGTTTGTCTTGTTGGCAAGCTGGTTAGGGAGATGACCCATTACCATGTGCAAATGCCATCGCTGCAGGATTTGGGAGCAGAAGCTCAGCATAAATAGGATCCAGTTGTGCCAGCAGGATCGTAAAATTACAATTGCATTGTTGAGCTGATGAGCAAAGCTCAGTGGGCTCCCCATTCAGGCATCATGTTCATTCACCTATTGTTTCCTTGTTGTCGAATGTGCATCTACTACACGAATCAATGCATGTGCTTGGAGGTTTCATAAGCGATGTCGAACCTTTGATGGTCCTGCCCCATTAGCTTTGGTCAGCATCAACAATTAGGCAATGACTCATCGCCACCATCCCACTCACGTGGTACTGCCAGGCGTTCAGAATCGCTCCTATATTGCTGTTCATGCTCGTGCTATCCTCGAAAAGCGATCTGTGGAGTCATTGCTGGGAGGGCCAAAGCTCTATTGGCTGATTTCATCTCTCTTGAGGACATACACAAATCCTTCTGCAAATACTCAAAGCCCCATTCACGACACAGGCCTGATCTCTTCTTAGGCTTGATGCACCTGAGAAATGCAATTCCCAGCAGCAAGGTTTCTGTGCCACAGACCTAGAGATGCTGTGGCCTTTGTTGTTGATGCCTCACTTATGGTGCCCTGATTGGTTGATGCCACAGGTCAACAAACGCTATTCACGGGACTGGATGGTGCGTGGTCGGGTGAAGGTGGAGCTCAAGAACAGCAGTGGTGCACCCACTGTCCCAGAAATACCATCGAGTAGGCCAACGCATGTGTGCGCAGATGCACAATTCCTTGTTTAGAGCTGCACTGATCAGAGACTCTGTACATTCCATGTGCAGTAAACGTAATTTCAAAATCACTTGTTGCATCATTGCTTCTCTGAAGTATGAAATAAAATCGTTGGTGGATTGGCACATCTGGCATGCCAACTGTTTGGAGCCCCAAAGCACCCAAGTAGCCACCGATTGCAAAGTTGTCCAAACCTGAAAATGCATGTGTCTGTCATCTGTAAACCAAAGCCAAACCCTGCGTATTGAGACAGTGTATTCCCTAACGTTTCTTTTCTCTTGTTGTTTGTTGAGCAACCCCAAATGCACCCAAATGTACTGTGTCTGTGACCTCTGCGAATGATTGGATCGATCGGACAGTGCGTTCAAACTTGGCATCTGAAGTTTTGGGGGTTCTGTAGCTTGCAATTGACAGCTGCTGATTCCCACGTGAGCACAAGTCCTTTTGCTTCAATAGGGTTTATGGAATAGTGACCTTCGCACTGCCCAAAGTCAGCAGATGTTGCAGGGGGACGATAATTCTTTGAAGACAAAGGTGATTGTTAAGACCTTCTACCACCCAACAAGCTGATGGGCAGTCCTCAGCAGCTCCATCTACTGTCATTCTATCAGACAAGTGTTTGGTAGGGTAGTATATTGGTAACGCAAAAGTGGGATAAAGATGATGGACGTCCAGTAAGCTACATGCTGAAGCCTCCACTTCTATTGCTGACAAATGAATCAATCCTGGTGGGCAACATGAATGCGGCACACTTCATCGGTGATCTATTGGGCTGATAGTATTGAAGATGATGCAGCTAATCTGACCTATATGATAGTTTGAGAGCTTTAAGGAAAAACAGTCAAAGAGATCAAACAGATGTTTGTCTTTGTGTGACCATCTGGTGTTATATGTTTCAGGGAAAGCGCTGTTTCTCAGGCTGGCAGAGCTGGTGCCCAAGCACCCCGGCCGCCACAAGGCGGCCCAGCAAGGTCAGGGGCAGTCAGACAAGCAGAAGGGGGGAAAGAAGGGGAAGAAGGGGAAGGGAAAGTGAATGGCTAGCAGGGGGGGGATGGATTGGCACAGAAGGGACACAAAGCGTGTGGCAGATGAGTTTCTGTTTGTGTTCGTCAGGTGCATAATTTATGGCTCATTGTCCCTTATGGTGCATGGGTTGAAAGGCTGTCTGCAAGTGGGGAGAAGAAATGAAGCCAGTTGCGCAGCCCGGTCTTGTGGTGTGCCACTTGTTGGCCATTCTTTGGATGGATAAAAGAAGTGAGCGGACAGGGCGTTTGGCATCTGGAAAGAAGGGATACAGAAGCGATGCTGGCATGGTGTTCGTCGCTGACAGGAGCGCATCTCAGCTGGAAGAGTTTCATTGCCAGCGTTGGAACCACCTTGGGCTGTTGTTGCTGAGAGCCATGGCCTACGACAAGGCATTGTACGATGGCCATTTTGCTGTGTGATCATCTCTGTTTGCTCTATAGGGTTGCAGGTTACTCCTGAGCCATTTAAGCAACGGTATTAATTTGTTTTTAATTAATTTGTTTTCGGTTTTAATCTGAGCCATTAAGCAACGGTAGGATTGCCCATGTTTTGGGACTTGTTTCAAACACGTCGAGGTGGCGTCGCCATGTCTGTCGTGTATTTTGGCAGCAGGCGGAACTATGCAAGTGTGCATGTGTACGGGGCAACCAACGTTATTTTAGGTGCCTGGGGTCCTCTGCAATGTCTGCCTATGCTTCACGGCTCCACAATGCTCCGCGGCTGTGATTTTCTTGGAGTCTTTGAATTTGCGTGGCTGAATTGCACGTCTTTCAACCATCCCTCACAGGGTGCAACACTCGGCGTCACCATCGCCACAAACCAGCAAGCAGACTGAATTTGGCGTGGCTGAACTTGTGCGTCTTTCAACCACCACTCGCAAGGTGCAACACTCAGCGTCACCATCGCCAGAAGCCAGCAACGACAGCTGAAACGTCCCCGCTTCAATTCCTATCCGGTGGAGCCCCCAGAAGAGCCTCGTTGCTCCCGAGCCTGGTGGGCATTTGTTGACAACTCGCATCAGTTGGCCCAGCACTCACAGCACCAAAAACGATGCTATCTCATAAAGAATTCCTACACAACGAGGCGAGGAGGCAGGAATCGGCTCCCTGTTTCGCCCGAGCAAGGCAGCGCCCATGGCTTGGTCCATGAGAGCTGAGATATTGCCACAATCCAACCACCGACTTGATGATGCTATTTCACCATTCAGTCCTGCATAACCAACTGAACTTCTGAACAAAAAACCAACAACACCCCCCAGCCCGGCTGACGAGCCGGCACCGGACGACCCCATCGAGCCAGCCCCCGCCGCGGCATGCCGCAGCAGCAGCGGAAGTACCGGAAGCGAAAGGCGGCGGAGGAGGACGGAGGGGAGGAGGCCGAGGACGCGGCGGCGTTCGCCAGGTCCGTCGCGCTGGCTGCAACCCTGCCGCTGCGCGGCGCGGGCGACCTTTGTGATTAGTCCCGCGGGCCGTTGGGCGACGTCGCGAAGTCGATGGCGAGCGTGGCCACGCTGAGTGTTGCCCGTGAGCTGACAGTCAATTTGAATCCGACCTGGGGCAGTTGGGAAAGATGTTTTCTGTGGTTTGCTTTGCGTCTCGCCTGGCGTCGAGCGTGTCTCGGGCACGGGCCAGCGTCCACGACGTGTTTGGAGAGTCGCCGGCACAGTTCTGGCGCCCTTGGTCAAATGAGAGTTGGAGCTTGCGCAAGGTTCACTGTCCGGTGTCGGCCTCGAGAGGAGAATCCCACGGACAAACTGTGTGGCCACATGAAACAGGCAGAATTTGCGCACTGCCGTTTGCAGCAGTGGCACGGCCTGGTGGATCGATTGCAACAAGCACTGAAAATATGTCATCTGAATATCGCGCGGCTCTTGAGGAAAAGATTGTGACACACCGTTTCGTGCTGTGGAAGATGAAGTGGATGTACCCCCCAAGACTGGGGGACACGACGCAACATGCTGTGACATGCGCAGCACAGTATTAAATGTGGACTTTACGTCCTGGAGAAGACTATTCTTTTCTTTGGTCGCCAGGAGAATTGTGGTGTGCAAATGCTTGAACTGCATTGGTGACAACAACGCAAGACAGACTTGTACTTATGCCCCTCACGGGCAATTACAGAGGCTATGCACATCGCCGAATTTTGTGGCTTCACAGAACCATCCAGCTGGGTTTGCTTACACTTTTGCAAATGGCTGAGAGCCATGCTTATGCTGATGAGTGAAAAGCAGTGCATGACTTGGCCACTGCGTTGCTCCACTGTGGCTTGAGTTCCGTTCATTCCTGTTCCAGCCCTATTGCCTGCAGCACAGAAACCCAACCCACATGCTGAGGCACCCTTATCATTGTCAGCTCCTGTGCCTGGTCAACTCAGTTACAGCCGACCAAAACAGGCATAGCCTGGGCGGTGTGTGCCCTCATAAGGACACACAAGGAGATGGGACAGGGATGCAAAACTGGGGATCCAGATGAGCCATCCAGTACCTTCAGGGAAAATTGGAGCAAACAATATAGCTCTAGAGTGCCAAATGTTTTGCCTACAACTGTTTTGCACGTTCCAACACTGCGTTGCAGATATTGCTCTGAATTGGCTACATGCTGAAGTTGTACGGTGGTGCTTTTGAGTTTTAATGCTTCCAGGGCCATGCCCATTTCAAGCGCTTTTCTTATTCTATGTTTTTGTAGTGTGATGGAATCCTGCATAATTGTTGGACTGTGTTCATGGGCCTTTGATTATGTACTTCGAGTTCTTTTGCTCACTTATGGCACTGGTGATCTAAATAATCCTCTTGTTGTGCAGTGAGAGGTTGAAGGATACCCGAGTGCTGCAGCGACGTCACAAGAGAAAAGCGGTGAGGCTAGAGATTGGCTTCTTGACAGATACAGAAGTGTTGTACAGAAGGCTTCGCCCCCGCATCTATGGTGATGCAGCCCTGTCACTGTTAGAGCATGACTTTCTGGAGGCAAGCAACATCATCGACAGCGGAAATTTGTTGCGCATCGCCGATCACAAGATATGCGCACTTGTCAGGCCTAGCTAAGCAATTGAAACAGACATCAGGAATTTGGGTTGGGTATGACTACTACCACAAAGCATGTTCTGATAACATTATTTAGTTCACACTGATTTACAGCACTCCCCAGTAATATTAATTCCAAGTACACACTCTTTTACACGACGTTGGTGAAATTCAAACGTGCAAAGTTTTTGTTGGCAACCATCTTTTGCATACATTTGGTGAACATTGATGAGACACTGCCCTCTTTTGAGCATTGAAATGCATCCCGTGATGTAGGGATTGGATGCTGAGGCATTGAACACGGGTGACAATCCAAAGAGTGCTGATGAGGTGAGGCTTCTCAGTTGGCAACGCAACCACCTAGATCTGTTTGGTCTTATTATTTTTCATATAAACCAGTTCTCAACTTGTTGGCACACAGGAAAGAATCGATTTCAGGAGCAAGCGTAAGTATTTGTGTGAAGGCTAAAATTTATTATCAGCACCTGACATATCTTCACAGGAACAAAGACTGTGATTTGCTGTTAACCAATATATGTGGAACATGCTCTGTGAATGGAGTGTGTAGATGTTGCTAATTAGGACGGTGGGTGTTTGACAGACTATTTCCGGCAGTAATTGGGAATTCAACACCCATTCATTGAGCAGTGATGCTGTCAGTTGATTCCTGACACAACGTTCAGATTGGATGTATTTGGTGACTTGGAATTCGGAATGCGCAATTGCTGGTTGAGCTGCCAGTATTGCTTCCATCGAAACGTACAGAATGGGGATATCTGTTGTATGTTGTATTCATTGTTGATCATAGCTGCATCATTTCCCACTTTTGAGCAGGATGAAGCTGGGAACGGACCTTTGGAGGAAGACGTGGCAGAAACTCTGCAGGCCTATGTGAAGGCAAAGTCTATGAGGGCAACAGGAGAGAACGAACACATGTGAGCCGCTCTTTTGGATTTTGGGATCATCTGTTGCTAGCACCAATGCATTTGTTGGTGACAGTCCTTCGACAGCAGTGGGTCATGGACAGCAATGGTGGACCGCCTCTGCGCCCTCAGGAATCCCGCATGCTTCATTCCTTTGTTGGCAGATGTTGGCATTTCACAGAAGATCAAGTTCCTAACGAGATTGACAAGAGGGGTGGGCGACAGGTTTTGCTTTGAAAGCAACAGCCTTGTGTCACCAATTTGAGTTGGCTCGAGTGTCCTCTTTGTGACAGTCGAACAAGAATGTGCGTTTTGCAAATGGCTTTTAGAGCGTTTGTTTGCAACCTTGTCGTGATTTTCAGTGGATCGAGTGTCTGACTGCACATTGTCGATGTGCTCTGCACTCTGGAGCTGCTCTCAAGTGTGCGGGGAGGACTGAAGGGAAAAATGGAAAAAGGGGAACATGATGCAAGATTGGCCTTCCCTAACATGTTGTTATGTCTATGCATGGCATGATGTTCGAGTCAGCATGCACAAGACAAGTTCGATGGTGCTGAGGGTATGCCTTGCCATGTCAATCACATCAAGAGCCCCCTGACACAAACAGTGTGGGGAATAGAAGAGGTTCATGAACAATACGTTAGCCATTGTCAATGTGTGGTTTGGGCGTTGATGTTGCACCCAATTGTGCAGGGATCGATATGTGGAAACAGCAATGGCGAAGCACCTTGGCAGGGACCGTGTGAAAGGAAGTGGGGGTGACAGTGATGATGAGGGAATGACTGCGCAGGAGAAACGCGAGGTGGAGCTGTACGAGATACCCGACAGCCTGAAGGTGCTGACTGCAGCACTCGCTGCGCCCCCTGTTTTCCATCTGGTTTTCTTGCACCAAATTTTTGCATCGTGGTTTAGAGTTCAGCTTGCGCACATGCCTTTGATGGAGGAAACGTTGGTCTTGCACTATCTCAAGTGATGAAGGAAGGCGATTTTGTGTGCCCAAGAAAGATGAGCAACAGAAAACCTCCATGTCAGAGAGGTTCCTTTTCGATGTCAGAGAAGTTTCCTTTCGTCGATCTTTGGCTGTGGTACCCTTCCACGTTCCTGAGCATTCTGTTTATTCAGCATTTCCAGTCTGCTGTGCACTGAAAATATACTGTGATTGGTAATGGCACTGGAGATGGTCATAGAGGGCAATTGTAGGTCTGCAAGCCTCCCAGTGGTTGTTATGTGGCTATGAAATGAACAAGTGTCGAAATCACAGATCGAATATTCTGCTACCAGGGGCAGTACTGATGCCAGAAGATGTGGTACAAGAATACTGTGCTTGCTTGTGGCCATGGAGGAGACCAGATTGTCTCACCAGTGCAGCTGTTTTGCACATGTAGTTTCAACAAGTGAATGCTCTCGACACTGGCCAAAGATGCCTCCCCACAGGCAATGCAGACAACACTGCCAATTTAGATGATCCCAGTGGCAGTAAAGGTGCCCTTTGTCGCCTTGAAGTTGCAATATCAATACCATATCGTTGTGGACGATTGTACTGGAAGCAGAATTCCTGCTCTCAGGACCATCCCATTTTGGTCCCGCCTGTGAAAATTTTGGACATCTGCGCAGGGTAATGGGATGCCAAATGTCGTTATTCCAGGCCTAATGACAGGCATCACCGAGGTCCAGCTTCCCATGGACGTTAGGCTGCAGAACATTGAGGAGACAGAGAATGCCAAGAAGAAGCTGTTGGAGCTGTCGACCAAGGCTGCCTATAGGTAGGTCACACATCCAAGCCAAACAGAGCTTCAGGCCAGCGGCTGCTGTTCACGCTGAGATCCGTGCTGTGTAAATGGAAACCTCTTCGACTTCATTCGCCAGAACCAGACTGATGACCCTTGCGTGTATTGCGTGCCGTGGAGCAACGAACAGTCAATTCACAAGTCGCACCACGTGCTTATCAACACAGCGAAGAGGACCATCTGTGCATAGGCACATGTGGCCCTTCACCTGTGTAAGTCCCTGTCCCCCTGCCCTACTTTGTCCAGATGTGATACAACACTGCTATATTTCACAGGAAAGTGGGGTTGTGCCATTTGCCCAGGAGTGTGCCCGCTGACGACGACCTCCCGCAGTCGTTCAAGGACACATTCGAGGTCAAGCGCTCGATGTTCGTGCCCACGTTTGGCCGCCCCATGGGAGGCAAGGGACCCAGCGACGACCTTGTGTGAGTATTGCCCCCACCACCCATCCCTTGGATTTGGTCCTTGCGCGATTCTCCGTTGACGGAATTAGGGCTTGCGCCACCTTGCCTGCACGGGGGCGGTGTTGCCGTATGTCGGCGAACGTAGTCCAGCTAAAAATGGCTCTCGTGCTTTGGCGCTCCCCAGGGGCGTGTGGTGCAGGTGTGTGGCCTCCATTTTGCGTTGACAGAATTTCAATTGAAATGCCGGTCTGAAATTGGGGGGAAGCTGTAGACAGATTTGGGCCAGGTGTTGTCACATTCCAGTCGCCTCATTGCCCGCTGACTGTTTCGCTTCGTAAGTTTCTGGGCTTGCTTTCGTCGCAACCTCATGCGCCATTTTGCACAACAACAAACCGTATCTGACGCACAGTCCACAACCTCCGCATGTGCAGTCATGCGCCACTGTAAGAGGTGGCGTCGTGTCATATGATGCAACATAACATATCCTCGTCATAGTTTGGTTTGCCTTCAAAGTAACGAGTCCCGGTAGCCAGTGGGAATAGGTATGCATGGCTTGTTTCCCTTGATGCTCTCCCCCTCAACCACCCACCCCACCCCACCCGTTTCCCTCCACGGCCATTGGCTTGGGCGGTCAGCATGTGTTTGGCGCGCAGTGGTCAGTATAAGCGTTCGTCATGTGTATTGCCAGATGAGCTCTTTGTAGAGCTGGCGTTGTTCTGGCCAATGCAAGGGTTTTCATGTTCAATTGCATACAGGCCAGCGTTTTTTCATTGCAGGGCTTCGAGATTTATAGAGCGCGAGAAGTACCGGTTTGGGCGCAGAAGGCGATGACAGGGAAGACATCCGAGACCACTCAAATGCCTGTGCTCTTTCCCATCCCATGCTTTCTTGAGGCGCTGGTTGGGCTTTTGGGCCATTGAATGTTGGCCACGCTACAGGTGGTGCGTGTGTGTGGTGAGTATTTACTTCACTATGAACCGGCAGCAGCAACGCTGGTTCACCCCCTGGGCATTACGGGGCAGCAGGCAAACTACGATGTGCGGCTTGTCTGTGGCGTTGGTGTGGCCGGCATCCACATGGACATTCTTGCTGCCACCGCTATTGCTGCATTCGAGGGCCGCGGGAGGCACAAGGGGAGAAGAGCCTGGGGCTGGCTCTCTGAAGTGCAACTTTTGAATGGGCTCGTGTTTCTGATATGTTGTGGCATGCTTGGTGTGAATTTAGCACGGAGAGGGAGACGTGCAGACCTGCCGCACTAGAAAATCACGCGCAATTAGTTGATTCGAATAAAACTTGAAAGCCGTGCTGGTTGCAGCGCTTGCAGAGGACTTCAAATGCAAAGTTTTAAATACAATATAGTGCAATCTGAAAACCACGACTCGACCTTGTGCCCCTGTGCCCCTTATCATGGTGTAGATGGCAAGCGCCCTTGTTCTCCCAGATGCCCCTGGAACGTCGTGTCGCAGCAAAGCCGACCTCCACAGACAGCGAACAAAGGTTGCCACATTCGGTTTGAGAACCTCGAGCTTTGTAAGCTCGGACTTGTTCTACGGAACGTTATGCAATCACTCTGTTCACCATGATCGACACCTCAAAGGGGGAATAGGCAACCCTCCATTCATGTATTTACCATTGGCTCCATTGCGCTAAGTCTTGATGCTATTCGGTAGTTAGGGGTTAAACAGAACTGCAATCCTACTATTGCTATACCATCAGAAGTGCCCTGATTGGGCTCGGAGCTCCTAAGTGGGTGTTGGCGACACACTAACTGCCCGGCTTCATCAACGGCCGTGGCAAGCTGCCTTGACCGCCATTTCTCAACTGAGAGTGACGTTTGCCAAATCAGGCGCTTAGACAGACTGACGCGCGTCAAATGCGCAGTGCGGCACAGTGCGTGGCGAGTTGCTCCTGTGCAGCGAGCGACAGCGACCGCGCTCGCGTACGGGCTCTGTTACGAGCGACGAACGTCACCCACCCGCCCACCGTAGACCCACCGGTCTTGCCACCTTCGGTCTTGTGGTGTCCGGGCCTGGGCCCTCTTCTCCTGCCTCTCAGGCTGTGTCAGAGTTGAGTAATCTCCTCGGCGCCCTGATGGCCGGAGGGGAGTCCACCCCAACACCATTCACGACTTGCTCTAACAGAAGCAACGTACGTATTCATGAACACTCCATTTGGGGGCGCGTGCCAGGCATGCGCTCCTGTGCACAGTGCCTTTGACCACCTCCATGTACTTTAAGGTCCATTACAACTCCGGCCTAGTACTTTAAAGTCCATTACACTAAACCGCCGGTACGTAGACCCGGACTTCCACGTATCCTCGCCCGGATAGCCAGCCACGCAGTCCCCCGATGCGTTCGGTTACAAATGCGCCCGTCTCTGTCGCTCTTAGCACAATTGTGACCTTTGCAAAGGTCTCCTCCGCTTCTCTCCCCAAACAGCACATGGCTCCTCCAAGCGATACCGGCTTCCTGGCCAGCTGTCTTGGATGTTTAGGGTGCAAACAACCAAGACCAACGCGGGGAGTCTTCAGGCAGGCCATGGAGGTGGCGTTATCTGCAAGCGGTGAGCTGCTGAATGTCTAAACTCAGGAGCCCCTTGCGCCGAAGTTGGCCTTTGCCCGTATAAGACGTAGTATGAGATTGCGCTGGGCCACGCGTTCTCATTGGGTCGCCACAAATTTGGCCCTCTGTCCCAACGCACAGCTGCTTTTCGTTGCGCGGTCATATTATCAAGGGGAAGAAGTTTACTTCGCAGTCCTAGAAGCTCCAAAGCCCCACGACACGCTCGCCGCGGCCGCTCCAACGAACTGCTATTTGATTGAACGACTCGTCTTGCAGTGCATCGTGTTACGGCTTGGATTCCCGTGGCCAGGAGCGACCATATGTGCGAGTGTCTTGGGTTTTGTCATATTACGTATGCAATGGGATTTGAGAAGCAGTAATGTGCTTCCAGTTCTGATGAGTTGAGTATAGGGTCGCCTCTGCTGTTGTTCTCCACTTGGCGTTGTGTTGGTGCAAGGGGGACATTCAGTGGCCAGACTGCCAGGATCGCGAAAATCGTCGATTGGCAATTTCAGCACTCTTGGGCACGAAGAAAATGCGTTGTCTTGGTTGTGTGTCAGACTTCGTGTCAAGATGCCTAATAAAGTCCTAAAATAACGCATTCCATTTGGAAAATGCAGAATAGATATCGGTCTGCTGGCTTGGAGTTGTTGGAACACGTGCGTGCCCAATACTCATGAGTGATGACATAGGGTCCAATGCTGCAGGTTTGTTCAATGCACCCAGATTGGGGCCGCCTGCTCCCACATGTTTCGGGTGCTTGCGAATTTGGCTGATCACGAAGCCATCGCTTTTCTGCGGCGAGGACCTCTCGTGAATCGCCATTGGTGCCGCTGGGCTACGTATGTGGAATTCGAGGGTGAGGAGCGCACCAATGGCAGGATTGAGCTCATTGTCAGTCGCTTCACCGCACTGGAGAGCATCAGACTGAAGCCTGAAACAGCAGACGACGTTATTTTTCTGAGAAAATTGCCTTTCCTCAGGCATGCAGTAATTATCGTTGCTAAATGTGACACGTTAGACTTGGGGTGCCTGACGGGCCTTGTGAACATAAAACTGGTGTGGCGTTACCACCTCACAAACCGCGAAGTAAAAACCCTTGTCACTTTGACATGCCTCAAGTACCTTTAACTGATGGGCTGTTGCAAGATTGCCGACGAATGCACCGCCAGTCTGGCACAGCTGCCCGCACTCACAGATCTCAATGTGAGTCGAACCAAGTGCATATCAGATGCTGGCATAATGCACTTGGCCAGTAGTCTAGGCTTAGTGAAGTCTTCAATGTCGTCCGCTGCAGACAATGCTCGTCTTTCTGATGAAGGGGCTAAGGCATTGGGAACGGTGACGAATCTTCATGCCCTGGACGTCCGCAGGAAAAATTCAGTAATAGGGGCGCAGCATATCTTCAGTCTCTGACTAATGTTGTCTAGCTGGGCGTCCCCAGGAATACATCGGATGAAGCACTGCAAACCCTGCGGCGCCTCACAGCCATCTCCAACCTTGTCTTTTTCGGCTGCAGAAGAATGAGCAACCATGGACGGGAGTCACCGAGGCAATTCAGATGTTTGTCTACACTGGGCATATGCCGTCATGGCAGCCTATCCAATTCTGATGTTCAAGCCATAGCAGGGGCTCACGGGCCTTGTTCGTATGTCTCTTAAGCTGGGTGTAAATCATATTTTTGATATGGATGCACTCATTTGCCCTGCGAGGTTAATTGCTTTTACTATCATGCTGATGGAGAGCGACTGTGGATATACTGGACGCCATCATGGAATGACTGACGATCACATCGAACGCCTGGGCAGCGTGGTATCGATGAAGAGGTTGCTCGCGGACTTCTGTCGCAAAACATTCAATGAGGGTGTTGCCCGCATGTCGAGGCTGACGCGTCTTACAGAGCTGTACCTAGGCGTGTGCCCAAGTGCCGTAGATTCTGGTCTGAGGAGTTTGGCGACCGTCGCGTCCTTGACAGAGTTGTACCTGACCTGCACAGAAATTGCAGATACAGGAGTGGGAGGCATCTTGGATTTGCATTAGAGAGGAAAGGACCAAACAACACTTTTGCGAGCACACATAAAAACGTTTCATCAAAGTTCTGCAGGCTAAGAACACAAGAATAACACAAACCCGTTTCTGCCATACCGGTCTCCTTCAAAACCCCCGTGTTCCCCACACAACAATACATTACACTCACACATTTTGGTGTCCATCACCTCATTAATACAAGACCCGATTGGCGACCCACTTGAACGTGCCCTCGCTTCGCATAGTACTTAATGCCACTCTGATGGTGACTCAACCCATAGTCAGTTCCCCTTTCTCGTACTCAACTCCCTCTCCATCCCACAGCTAACCGAAACTCACTCTATTAGGGTGGGCCGGGCGGGTGCAAAACAAGATAAAGGGAGGCGCCAAGGGTCGCGCCTAAAATAGCCGCTCCCACTTGCCGCCAAACTCCCCGCCAAACCCAAGGGCCAGCTTGACCGGTCCCCTTGGCTGCGTCCAAGGTACAAGGCTCAACCCAACTGCCCTTGGATCCGCCGGGCAGAACTGACCCCGAGTACAGGGGTGACAGAAACCGGCCAATGGATGGCCCAAAACTGTCCAAGAGGCGGAACGGCCCAAACTGGCTGATACGCGCCCACCCAACGTCGTTCTTGGCAGAAACTCATTAACAGGATAGTTAATTATTAAGCGCACTGGGTGGAGAGTTTATGTGTTCAGTTTGCTCCACTTGGTGTGTCCCAGGGCCACCGATGCAGATGTAATGCTTCGCGTTGCTGGGCAGGACCTGGAGTACTGCACTGTCCGGAGATTTGATTTCTGTTCCCATGCAAATTTCGTACACCACTTTCATGCGATCAATCGGTCAAGCGTCCCCTCGTTGGGGGTTCGCCACTGAAGCCGCACTTCCGGGCACTGACATAGAAGGTGCTCAAGCTCCATGTTCATGCCCTGGCGAGGAACGTAATGTCGAGTTCATGAAGGAAAAAATCGCGATGTGAGACAGCGCCTAAACCGCACAGCACAGGCAACCCTGGCAACTCCAAGCACCCGCTGCACAAACCCCAAGGAAATAGCAGCAACCACGCACTCTCACCATTGAGTGATATACAGCCAGCACTGCCAACCTGAACATAGGGGGAATGGTGTGTTCCTGTCAGCTACTGCAGTTGTGACTACGGAGTCACTGGACATGCTGCAGCCGTGGCGGGCTTAGCAAACCTATGGTGGTTCATGCGAAGCTGTTAAATGTTCAGCAAGTTTTACCTACAAAAGGCAGACGACTGTATGCCTCGGCAGGCATGGGGATTTTGCTTCCGCGCCTATCCAGCTGCCTTGCCCCCGACCGCCGACCCCTTCATACTGTATCATGAACGTAAGGCTGCATTAGTTGCACAAAATCACGAAAGAAAGCATCCTTTACAAACAGGCCGGCCACCACACGTGCACGCACACACAGACAGCGAGGCATCATGTCACAGGAGTCTCCCCTCCCAGCTTCCAGTCAACTTCCCTGCGACGGTCCCATCAGCTTCGCTTGTGCCTCACATCGCCTAGACGCAAGGCTGATCCAGAGGTAAACACCATCAGGGAAGGTTCAACCTCGCCTGCTGCGTCTCTTGACGGCAACCTCCAACAAACGAGCCAGCTGCCACACACCATGCACCCCACCCTGGCGGGCCAACCCCCATCTGCCACAACCGCTGCCCGCCACCAGCAAAACAACATGCCCACCTCGCAAAAATTTGTCATCAGCCCTCTGCACAGAATTCACACCACCCACCCACACCCCAGCCTTTCCACGCTGCCCATCTCACCCTAGTCAATGACCCACGACCTGGCGCCAGAAATTACGGTGTTGACGGCTGTCAGGGGCACAGCACAAACAAAGTATATTGTGCTCCACTATGTACAGCGAAGTACAGGCAGCTCCTCTCACATGCCCGCCGTGTGCAACTCCGAAACCATCCCAGTGGCACTCATGCACTTATGTCCATACCGTTCTCATCCCCAATTGGGTTAGGCACCCCGGACACCTGCACAGCAAGCACACAACATCCCTTGTTGAATTCCACCCCCTGGGAATGGCATGCGTGTAATCCTCCAACTGCATATGACATATGCACTGGTTGAAAAATCCATGAACCTTAACTGCACATTCTGGGCAGTGATGCACACAGGACATCCTAAATGCCATCCTCCACAACTCTGTCGCAAAACGAATGTACAAAACCCAATTCTCCTGAGCAAATTGTACCTGCCCTGCACACATGTAGAGTCGCGACGGCTGGTGGCCATTGCTTGGCTATGTTCGTTTTCTGTGCAAATGCCAACTCTCACCTGCACTGCAAAGTCTTGCACCTCTGCTTCCTGCACCGCGTCCTCCATCGGCGAGTCACACTGCATCGGCTCCGTTGTGGCCGGCCGCACCTGGCCAGCATCCCCGTCGCCTGACGTCTGCGGCGACGTCATCTCCACCAGCGGTGTGGATGCTGGTCTCTGGCCAGGAGGTGCGCTCCTGGGGGGGTGGGAGTTGGCTGGCGAGCGGCCCCCGCTAGCCTTGAAGAAGTCTGTGGCGGGCTTCATGTCACTGTAACGAGGTGGGGATGGCGGCACGCCTGTGAGGCCATGTCCAAGGTCAACCAACAAGCAACAGGATGTGGAGCTGAGGGAGATACAGCGCTGCTGCGGCTGTCAACGATCGTATCACAGGAGAACCACCACTTGCCATTCAGTGTTTTGCTTCCTGGGCAGCACCAACAGGCATCGGGGAGCTTTGTTGGCACAATGGCACACCCACCAACAACATACACCAGTGTTTGCTTGGTTCATTCCATGCTGCTGCATTCTGGCAGGTGCTGGAAACGACTGTAGTGGACCAGTGGCAACTGAGCCAATGGGGAGGTGGTGTGTATGTGGTGTGCATGTGGCCAAAGAGAGCATCTTTCACAATTTTGGCAAGTGTGCTCCCATTGGATGATGTCAGGAAAGGGATGTTGTGCTGTGGGAGATACTACCCCAGATTTGTAAGGCTACATGCACAGCAGTTCCATTGCATTGAACAGCACTTTGCTGCCTATGTGTTTCTGATGTGTATATTACAACTTCAGGCACATCCTTTGCATTCTGCAGGGGCAGTTTGCAATGCATTATGTGCAGGCATCGAGTTACCAAATGCTGTGTGACGTTTTGACCTGGTCGCAGTTATCCAGCTCCCGGCTCCTGGGAAAGTTGCTGAGTTGCTTCAGTCGCAGTTGGGGGTAATTTGGACGCAGTGTCAGTCCAAGCCATTTCTTGTGCATGTGCAGAATAAGGAACACCATCCACAAGCACTCTCTACACTACTTTGTACTTGTGTTCACCAACAAGCCATTTCCATGCAAGCAGTAGCTGAATTTGGATTGTGGCAAACCATAGCATACTTTCTGTATATAACAGCTACATGTTTGGCGCCTTAGGCATTCTGTCCTGCTCCGTGGCTGGAGCTCCACTGTCAAAACTGGTGAGGGCTTGGCCCAAGTTGGAATTAACCTGAGGTTCCACGTGGAAACACAATGTGCTGGGAAGTCCAAGACAGAAGGCCCTGACCTGCAAGGACACAAGATGGCAGGATGCAGTTCCAAGACAAAGTGCGGCAAGGAAGGATCAAATGGATCCGGTCGCTAAGTTGCCAATCTTCTTGCTTGATGCCAATTCCCTTCGACATCTGATTTCTTGCTATTCGTGATTTTCCTTGCCGCACAAGACTTCAGCTGCCCCAAAGGCTAGATTCATGCTTACAGCACGCTAAAGGGTCTTCGAAGAATTTGATTGTGAGGCAGATGCTTGTTTGACGCTGTTTTCTTTCTGTTTTTGAGCACTGGAAGTGCTACCTGCAGTGTGCTGCAGAAACATTGGGCAAACTTATGGAAAAGTAAATGTGCTACCCAAATACGCTAACCCACACAAACCCACACAGACACACTTTGTGCAGTGTGCTAAGAAGCTCAGGACATCAGCAAAGAATGATACACGCAGAGAAGACTTTTCCTGCATCCATGTGCAGAATCCTGGAGTACATTTCTTGTATTGAGTTTCCTTCTTGTTCTGGCTGAAAAAGCAACTGGAAAGAAGCCCAATGTACAAATGTTGGATCTAAGTGCTCCAATGTGTGGTGTGAATTCTGGGTGCCCAAACACACCACAAACATGCTCCCAGCAGCTTCCACATGGGCATATTTGGAACACTCATGGACATCGAATTCAATTTGGATCCAAAAGTACCCACCTGGCTTGACACCTGGAAGGGATAACCGTGGCACTATGGGCCGCCCGCTCCTCTTCCCAGTAGTTGGCGGCGGAGCCCACCCGTCTTCAACCTGTGCTGGCGACGGCGTCTTCAGCATGCGGTTGACCTTCTCGTGGATCGTGTTTGCTGCTTGGCTGGCCTCCAGCGTGCGCACGTTGGCGCTGCTCAGCCGTGTGCTGTTGCACCAGCCATCCCGCTTCCTTCCCGCCTCCCGAGGCGTCCTCTCTCCCATGCTCTGTGGCGTGAGGGACATTTGCGACCGCGGGGTTGGCTCCCCGCCGACCCCTGAGACAGGCGCCTTGCGACGGGCCCGGTTGTTGTTCCGGGTGGCTGCCTTTTCGGCCATCCGGGCATTCCACTCTTCCAGCACGCCGTCCAGCATCTCGCCGCAGTAGTCCACATCCTCAAAGACGAAGGGGTACCCCTCCTCCTGCTCCCATGTGGTGATCAGTGCCCGAAGTGCCTCCACCTTTCCAACAAAAAGGGATAGGCATCAAGCACTGGGCGACACACAAACACTTGCCAAACAAGAATATCGCCTGGCTCTTTTTCAAGCTGCAAGAGATAACATGCCCCAACACCAGAGAAGACTATTGTACTGTGGGCGTGGTACACACACCTCTTGGGAAGAATGAGACTCCTGTGAGACTCTTTCCCGAGCTGGAGATGTTTATGCAGTCAAAGAGTGCCGCAGGGGTGGCAGGCAACACAGGGGCGAACGAGCACAAGGCCTCCACCATTTGAAAAAGAAGGGAACAACAATGGGTACCCCTGTTGCAGAGTTGGGTATCTTCTAAGCAGAGCATTTGGCTAGGGCAAGCATTGAGAACTGCGGGACCTATCTTGTGCCTGTCAGCTCAACCATTGTGTGACATGCAACGTCGGTCAGTTGTTGTGATACCATGCCAGGAGAGAAGAGCCTTGTGTTGAGCAGGCTGCTTGTCAGGGCTGCTTGTCGAGGCTGCTTTCACCCTTCACTCATCCTGCATTCATACACATGGCGCCCCCCTCCTGAAAGGTCTCCAAGAGCCGCATCACAGAACACATAACAGAGCAGCGCCTGAGCAGTGCCCACACCTTCTCTGGCATCTTGTCCCGGATCCTCCCCGCTTTGATTGCCCGCTGCAGCTTTCGATTGCAGTCCCGCCCCTTGTACCGATCGCTGTCATTCTCGTACGAGTGCAACCAGTCAGCTTCTTGCCGGGAGGCCTCAAGGTCCAAAATCATCTCGATGATCTTTGACCGCCTCTGCACAATCAGCTGTACCTCTGCCACCATACGCGCAATCTTGGCCATTACATCTGCGATCTGGCCCACATTGGACTCAGTGGCGCGGAAGCCCTCTGTGGGATCGTAGCCCTCACCCAGGAGGGGTGAAAGGTCAGGCATCGGCAGGTGGGTCTCAATACACAACTCCTGGAGCTCGATCACCTGCCAAAACAGCCACTGTAAGAATCTGAAGGATACAATCTATTCCGCACACCCCGTCTTGCTCATCCTGCCATGCCAGTCTAGGTCATGATCTTGATCGCAGTGTCATGTTATGAGCTGCTGGGCTCCACCGGACATCACTGCCCAAATGCTTGCAATTTCATTCAGGGGCCTACACAAAGGGAAAATGATAACATGACAGTGACATGCCCTGTTCTGAACTGCATGTGAGGTTTTCTGTTTCGCAGTATTACATGCACACTGGCCTTTGTGTTTCAAAGTCTATTGCACCAATCTTGACAGAGTGAGGGTAATCAGTTGAACATCAAGAATGCCAGTGGTTCTATGGTGGCATCACAGATGGGCTTTTGCTGGAATTGCATTTTTATTTTTTGCTTTTCTACTAAGCATCCACACCTAATAACCAAAACCCAACGTTTTGTGGCAACGGAAATGAGCAAGCAGTGTGCAATCAAAAATTCAGATGGAATTGTACCCCTCATCGCCTTCTAAGGTGCATGCGCAGACACAGCCATGACACCCAGGCCAGCACTTACCTTTGCATTGATCCTGTCCTCCAAGTGCTGTGTCTTGAACTTTTCCAGACGATTGACCTCCGTCACACACCTCTCTATAGACTTAGCATGCAGCCTTGTGGAGCCCTCCATGAGTCGCGTGAATATCCCACGGTCGATGTCATCGGTTGGGGTGTCCAGAGCGGCCCAAAGGCTTGCAAGGAGCTCTGTCAGATCCCGCGCCTGTTGGTCCCGAAGATCCCTGAGTGAAGAAGCAAATCTTCTGATTGACTTGTTGACAAGTGATGATACACAGCTCTGGCACCCACAAGGTGATGCAGAGCACATGGAAATGTACAGTGCGCATAGAATGCTACCTCCATTTACACTGCTGTGGTCCAATATAAATAGGGCGTTACTAAAGAATGTGCTCAACAATCATGGGATTTCTGAACTCGCAAGGGGCAGCGGCTGCCAAAGCAACACAATATGTGGAGCTGTCCCAATCCAGACAAGGCCACTGTGACGCAACACACAGGAACCAGAAGCCGTGAATGCAGCCAGAATCTTGCTTTCTTGTTTGGCGCATCGGCAGTCCTTTCTTGAACTTTTCTGAGATATCCACTCCAGGGGAGAGTGCTGTTACAGTTGGGCTTGATTGTGCACCATCAAACTCGTTCTGTTGCTCACATGACCCATAGCCTTTCTTCGATTGTGGGGTTTGTGCAAAATCTTGGAGAGGTCATGTCCATGCACAAACTGTTTGACTGTTTCAATGTGCTGCTCTAGGCGTGGGTTAGATCTATCACTTCAGTTCAGTTCCCAATTCCATTGCCCCACAGAACACAATAGTGATGGCAAGCAAGAGTTGCAAAGGCCCCAAAGAAATAGGCAGCTCAAGCACAACCACACCCCACCTCAGGTGCTTCAGCTCATCAATCTTCACCCCCAATGCGGTAAACGTCTCATCGCACAGGTCGATCTCAGGCTGCTCTTGGCGAGCTGTGTCAAAGGCATCTGAAGCTGACCCAAAGCTTTGCCCCCTGGGCGCCAGCGCCGGCATGGACTGCCAGTACAGCGCCAGACTGGGGTGTGCAGAGCTTGCTGCCTCCACATCATCCTCGCCGAGCTCCATGCACAGCTTTCGCAGCGTGCCCAGCATCGATTCCAGGTCCCTCTCCTTGCGTATTCTCTCTGAGTGGCATGTTGACAGCACACCTCGCAGGTACTCCATGTTTGCGCGCGTGATGTCTGCCTGATTGTTGAACCAATCATGAAAGCACATTCAGGCAAGCATGGCTTTGGTGCACAACTTCAGTGGCACATTCACTTGACTTAAATATTCTGCGGTGCTTGCTTTAGACGCTGAGCAGAGAGCTCTACACATGACAAGATCTGTGCTTGTGAGATACCATATTCAGTGGTGACAGCCTGGAGCTTCAACTTGTTACCCTGGCCACCAATCAACCACAACAAGCAACCAGGCAGAAGCAAAGTGCACAGCACTCTTTCTTCCCACGCACAGCCCAAACACAATGGGACACCATTCACACCACAACCCTTGCTGGAACAGTGTGTATGCCCACTTCAGGTCTGGCTATGTGACGTGCACTGAAGGCAACGGGATTGATCGACAAAGCTGGGTATTGCCCCCACCACCAGATAACTGCCCAATCAAAATTGCGCACATGAAATAGACAGAGTCGATCTGCACCTTTACGGTGGATAATGAAGGGACTTCCTTGGGGGGCGCACGAGCAGGTTTGCCGTGAAAGAGGAGCGGTGGCCACGGTGATGGCTGAGAAAAAGAACGAGTGGGAAAAGTGCACAGTCGAGAGGCATGTCCAAACCCGGTTCCATGCTCCACCAACAGCAGGGTGACAAAATGCCTGGCTACAGATTCGCATTCAGGAACCCCTCAGCTGGCCGGCCGCGTCGGAGGGGGCCGACAGCACGGGTGGCGCCTTGTGACCATCGACGGAGGTCCGTACCATGAAGTCCGGCGACGCGCCCAAGGTCGCGGGGGCCAGGCCGCAGGACACGGGGGCGATCGCCGCGCCCCGCGCTGGCCGCGGCCCATGACGCCCCCCCGACCGCTCGGCACCGCCGGGCGCCCCACCCTCCCTCATCCGGCGCCGGCGCGCCGCGCCGATCCCGCCGCGACGACCCCGCGGGAACGCGGGCTGAAAATCTCCAATTTCGGCAGCACGCCCCGCAGGGGCGCGAGGGGATGCCCCAACCCACGAGCAAACGCGCTGCCGCGACGGATGCCCCCCAAATACTCCCCGCCCATGCCGCTGGGCGCCCACCTTGGCGTGCTTGGACGGCGTGCTGGGCAGCACAGGGTGCCCCAGCCGCGCCTTGAGCGCGTGCGTCTCCGCCTGCAGCGCCTCGAACTCCTGCACGCGCGCCTCGCGCCGCGATCGCCAGTCCTCCAGCAGCTCCACGGCCCCGTCGTACCTCGCCTTCAGCGTCCCACCGCCCAGCGCGGACTCGAACCTCAGGCTCTCACAAGAACCCCTTTCCCTTGCCCTCACCGCAGGGCTCTCCGGGGGCACTTCTTCGCCCATTTCCTCCCTCAATTTGTCCACTTCCCGCAGCGCATCCTCAACCCTGGCCACCAGGCTGCTCCTGTGAGCTTCGGCCCTGGCAACCGCCGCCGTCCACGCCTCCGTGGCCGCCGCCCACACCTGCTCCACCTCGCGCTCTTGGTCGGCCCGCGGGATGCCCACGTCGTCCCAGATCGCCGCCAGTCGGCCGCTGGACTCCCTGCATGTCGCCGCGTAAGCCTCCAGCTGGGCGCCCGTCCGCAGGCCGGACCCTTCCGGCCCGCCGCCCTCGAGCAGCGAGCTTAGAAAGCTGCCCGACCGGGCATGCGGAGTGCTCGACATCTCGACCGCAACCAATCAACCCCCGTCCCGTTCAGGGCGACTCGAATCGGCTAGCGACGCGCGGAGACCCCGCGTTGAGGTCGGGGACCCCGCCCGGCGCTCCCCGCCCCTCCGATGCCGATCGCTCCAAACCCTCTCGGCCGACCCTCCCGCCTCCCGCCACCCGATCCCCGCCGAGCCCCGCGATCGCGCTACGATCCCCCGCCGCGCCGATCTGCCTCCCACCCGCCACCCCTCGGGTCCCCAGCCCTAAACCCGAGCCCCGCGAGCGCCCGCCCGGGTCGCGCCCGGCGTCCAAATCCGCCCGACGCCCGAGCAGTTTCCCGCCAAAACGGCCCGCGCCTTTCCCCGCCAAAATCTCTCCTCGGTCCCTCTCCAGCCGCCTAAAACAGCCCCTGCGGAAACCGCTGGAGGCCTGTGGGAATGGCCGGTGTTTGTCGGTGGGCCCCGTGGAGCCTCGGAGCAGAGCCCGGTGTGTGTGTGTGAGCCTGTGTATGCACCGGCCGCCCCTGATCTCGCCCCTATGGACCCAGTCTGACGCGGCAGGGGGCCGAGGACACCGCCCCCGGCTGTACATCCCGTCAGCGCGGCCGGAAGGGCAATCAGCGTTGGTGCCAGCGTGAACGGCTTCGTCACTGCGCAGTTTTTTCTCCAGCACCGTGGCTGAATTCCGGAGACAGCGGCCCTCAGAACGTCGGAATGGCCATGGTGGGCAACGACGGGTCTTAGACCCAATCACTGTTTGTTTTACCGCCATTTCCACTTTTGTTTCAAGTTTCTTTGAATTTCCTGCTTCCAGGTTTTGTTCCACTTTCCCCAAGATGGGCCTTCCCGACTTTCGATTCACAGTCTTGTTTGGTCTTCTTCCTAGGATAATCAAACGTCGTGTTCGGTTTTTGCTCCTCATCTAGAAGAAATGAGGCGGATTTATTCATAAGGTCGGTGGAGTTTGTTCAGAGGGAACAAGTGACTTCCTAGCAGTCTTATCTCCTTGAATGTTTAAACCATATGCAGCACAAGAAAGCTAGGCTGTGATGGACTGAATTCGGCAACCGATGACCATGGACGCGTCATTCACCTTTGAGCATACGAGGTGCACCTTAGGAGGCCAAAAGGATCGAGTTCTGTTGAGCGAAATTGAACTCAAGATCCGTGGTCGGCAGAAGGAATATCCCTCGACGAAACAAAGGTCAAGGTCCGAGCCTGCACACCATGCCCAGGCCAACAAGATGCCCAGGAAGTGCCCCACGCTCCCTGCTTGCTCGTGGGCCTGGATGTGCAACAAGCGCACGCTGGATTACAATTACACATCCACCCCACCCCAAAAAATGTTCAGCCGCGGCTCTGGACACAGCCTCACTGCTGCCCACCCCTCCCACCCCTTGGTGCGGGGGGCCCCATGGACCCCTCCGGCCCGCCCTTCCCTAATCCCAGCATCACTTCCACCTTCTTCTTGCCTGTCAGAGGCGTCGTTCCCTCCGCCCCCACCACCACTTTCTTCTTGTTCTTGGATGGCTCCACCCGCCCAGCCTCTACCCCCACCCTCCCCTTCCCCGCCAGCACCACAAACGCGCTCTTCTGCACCTTCTGCATCCGCTTCAGCTGCTCCAGCTGCTGCTCCTGGTTCAGGTTGTTCCGCCGCCGCAGGTACTCCTCCTTCATCTTCCTTGTGCGCCTCTCCACAGTGTTCTTCGATGGCCCCTTGCCGTGGAACGCGTACGACAGCTCCCGGAACGCCTGCTTGGGCGTCAGGATGCGCCCAGTCTCGTCCTTCCTCGTGAGGGCGGCCTCGATGGACTGCGCCAGCCGGTCGTCGTTGGCCCCCCCCGTGTACACATCGTCCACGCCAATCAGGCGCCCCTTCTTCATGTCGTTTGTGCGGCCCACCCAGTCGAACTTGTGCGCCAGCTCACCCCTGTCGCGGAACATCTCCAGTGCCGCACCGACGCCTTTGCCCAGAGGCCTGTCCCTGAGTGGGTTGTCCTGTGCCGGGTCAGCAGCTGGCTGGGTGGGCCGTGATGGTGCTGGCCGAGCAGCCTCCTCCCCGCCATCGTCTGCATCAGCCACCACCCAGTTACCCCACCGGGACCCTGGAGTCTTCCTCTGTGCAGGCTTTGACGAGGACGCCCCCAGACCCGCCTTGTCGTCTTCAACCTTTACCTCCTTCACAACGACATCCTTTGTGTCGGTGGTCTTTGTGCCATCCATCTCAAGGCCGTCGATCTGCATGGCGTCCCCCTGGCCGCCATCCGCAGCTGACTCGCCCAGCTCGATCGTCCTGCAGAACTCGGTGGTGTCTGTGAACAGCAGGGCCTGGTCCACAGCATCCTTGCGCTTGGACTGCTTCAGCCGGCGCTCTCGGGCACTGTCCGCCATCGCCTCGAACCGTTGAGTGGAGCTCTCTGACTTCTGTGCCACCTTCCGTGCCCTCAGCAGGATGTCATCGTCCTCCTGGGACACCACAGGCATAGGCCATTGTTGCGATGCAACTGCAAGAAGAGTGCTTTTTCAGCTGTTTGAATTCGCTCTGTGGTTTCTGCGATTATCTGGATCGAAGGAAGTATGCAAAGATTTTTGATCCTATGCTGTGCTTAGGGTCATGCCCATCGTGGCCTTTCGATACAAGGGCAGTGTTTTGTCTCGACATGACAGAAACATGAAATGATGAATTTGACTGGATAATTAATGAGCTCAATTCAAATCTGGAAAATGGAAGCAAAGGATACACAACGGGAAAGAGTCGACGCTGGCCTGACCAGGCACAACAGCCAAAGAGGCTGAGCTCTATGCTACGAAATGCACTCCTTGCCTTCGTTCCTTCCAACTAGTGACAAGATCAATCACACATGTGCATCTACCGACCAAATAACACTGCAGATGGCAAAAGAGGTGACGATGAAGCAGGAGCACAAGAGCACAATAGGCCAACGAGTTTCCAGATGAAAACTCGTCTCCTTCACTGGTGTTCATGGGCAAATGCATGATCCATATCAACACAATGGGCAGTCTAAAGGAATGCACAACAAAAGATGCACACCAAAGGCGCATCAAAAAACACCAACCAATCCACCGACAGGGCTGGCCACTGCAAGGGTTGTCGGGTAATGGGACTCCATGGCAGCCACAGCAATCGACACAACGTCTGCGCATGCTTGTAAGAAGCAGAGGCAGCATGAGCTTGGGCAATTCCGAAATAGGTCTGTTTCTTTCCTTCGCCCTGCCCCAACACCACCCACCTCATCACTGACATCGGCTGCCTCCTCCGCCAACTGCTTGAGCCTCTCCGACTGAATGTTGGCTGCCTCCAGCGCCTGCTCGTACCTCGCCGCCTTCACAGACCGCCTGGCCTCCCAGTCCTTCTCCTTCTGCTCTGCGCGCTCCCCACGGCCCTTGCGCGACCCGTGGTCCCTCCCGCCCTGGGCCCCCCCTCCCTCCTCGGCCTGCCTCTCCAACTCCTCCACGATGTCCAGCACACCCTCCTTCCGCTGCCTCAGCTTCCTCTTCTTCGCCTTCTTGGGCTTCCTCATCTCCACGCCCATCTCCTCCGGGGTGTAAAAATCTGACACCGGCCGCCGGATCGTCTCCAGCCCCTCCGCCAGCTTGGCCCTCATCTCCTCCTCCCTCTCCTTCCTCACCCCGCCCGTTTCGTCCAGCACCAAATCCCCCGCCCCCCCCTCCTCCTCCTCCTCCCCCCCCCACCCGCCAAAGGACAGCGGCTTGGGCTGCGCCTCCCGCCGCGCCTTCTTCCGCCGCTTCTCCTCCGTCTTCAACACATTCTCCAACCTGTCCCCCTCCTCGTTCAAGTTCCTCCCCATCTCATCCAGGATTGACTGGTCCGCCAGCGTCAGGATCATCGTCTCCCCTTCCCCCAGCTCCTCGGCAGCGTGGCCGACCTTCATCCCTGCCAACCCCCCCTCCCCCCTTTCCTCTCCCTCCCCTTCGCTGCCCTCCCCCTCCTCCCCAGCATCCTCCTCGGCCCTCCGCGCTTCCTCAAGCCTCCGTGATTTCTCCACCCAGGCGGCCACATCGTCCCCCTCCTCCCCCTCCTCCCCCAGCGTCCTCACCCTATCCAGCGCCTCCTGGGTCCGCCGGCGCTCCTTGGCCTCCCTCAGCTTCTCCTTCAGCTGCGCCGCGGCCTTCTTCTTCTCCACAGCCGACCTCTCCGCGTCCGCATCCCTAGGGTCCCTGTCCCCCCCCTTCTTTGTCCCAACCGCCAACGGCTTCAGCCCAAGCGCTGCCCTCAACCTGTTGGTCTCCTCAACGCTCATCGACACCTCCCCGTCCTTCTCTTCAATCCTCACATCGGGCAGCTCCCCACCGTTCTCCGCATCCGCCTCCCCTTTGCCAATTTTGCCGGCTTTCGAATCTTTGCCATCGCCGCTGCGAGGCCGCTTTTCCCGGCCGGCCCGCCGCGGCTGCTCGTCCCTGACCTCCCCTTCCTCCGAGCTCGAGCTGCCGCCGCCGTGACCCCTGGACCCGAGATCGCCATCGTCACTGGCTTCGGCCCCTTCCGCAGGGTTCGGGGATTCGGACCCGCCGCGGCTCCTGCGCCGGGAGCGCCGCTCGCCACGCTGCCGGCGGTCCTTGCGCCGCCTGTGGCGAGACTCGCGGTCTTTGTCGCGGGCCGCGCGGCTGCGGCTTGGGCGCGCCGCTACCGCGCCGTTCTCGGTGTCCTTGGCGCCGGGCATCGCCGCCGGGTGAGCGGGCTGGCGTTCGAGTTGCGGTGCGCTGCAAAGAGGCACCGTCGAGAACCAATGAACTGCAGTGCGTGGCAATATTGCCATTAATGGTTCTTGGTGGTTCTTTGACAGGCTGATACTGTTGCCTGGCCATTATACGTAATGGCCAGGGCAACTGGCAGGTTTGATTCAATTCAGTCACAAAATAACAACAAAATAGACAGGTTCAACTTCATTTGCCTCTACTTTGCTGTTCACCAGCTCACACTCAACATTTTTTCACTCACAAAGTGCAAGGAGCTGCAACTTATAAAAACAGATTGCTGATCCCCAGCCAGATGCTTTGCAGATTGGCACTTAAGTTCTAAAGTTCAGCGCACCAAACGACTACAGCCCAATCTGGATCAAAAACAGGTAAGGAAACACAGGCGCTCACACACTTGCACTCACAAAAAATAGATGGCTGATCCCCAGCCAGATGCTTTGCAGATCAGCACTTAAGCCCTAAAGTTCAGTGCACCAAACGACTACAACCCACTCTGGATCACAAACAGGTAAGGAAACACACGCGCTCACACACTTGCACTCACAAGCAAGACAAGTCGTTTCACAACCGGGGGGGCTGTCACACACGCAACCCCATGCCCCTCGGGACGTGCAGTGTTACGCGCACCGGCCTGATGTGGGGGACGCCCTACTACTGGCCCTTGGTGTGGGGGACGCCCTGCCCAAGATAACTATCCTCAACCCATAGTAACCATTCTAGGTATTAGGATACGGGAGTAGGAGGGGTGGTCCCGCCTAGGTCCCCGTAAGGACCTAGGTGCCTGGCGAGGCGGGTCCGCGGCTCAAAGAGGGCAGGAACCCCACACCTACAGACTTTACATATCATTGGTTTCGGAGCCACCTGGGGGTGGCTACCACGCTTCTGCCTGGGCGGACGCGCAAGCTCGGAGCAGCGGGCTCCCTCCCCGGCCTCCCCCATGGAGGCCGAGGAATTGGATCCTGAAGCCCGGAAGGGCAGCCCCGCGTCTTCGGGTGTGGAGGACGATTCACCCCGGAAGGGGACGCCGACCAGTTCGGTCGGCGAAGACGTTACAGCCCGGAATGGGCAGGGAAAGGAAGAAGTCCGGAAGGACATAGCCAGACCATCGGCGCCACAAGAGAAGCCGGAAGGAGGCGACCAGCCAATGGCCGAGGCGGAAGAAGCTCCAGCAGAGGAGGTGCCAGAACCGGGTACAGTGGCGGCCCTACTACAGGCGCCGGGCATCATGGAGCTTTTGGAAAAGATGGCGGCTATGGCGGCTCAACAAGCAAGGGCGAAGCGGGACGAAGAGACCGCCGAGAAGATCCTCGCCCTCGAGATCGAAGCGGACAAAGCGAAGAAGGAAGCCCGCAGAAACGAGGTCGCCATGCGAAAGGCGAAAAAATTTAAGCCGCCAAGCGGAGGAGGCCAAGACCTCCGCTGAACAACATGTCGCCCAGTTGAGCAATCGCCTACTGAAGCAGAAGCTGAGAGCTCAGGAGGCGGAAGAGAAGGTCGCTCAACAGAAGCGACAGCCCGAAATGGGCACTGGTCCATCTGAGCCGTTGCCGAGGATTCCAGAAGCAGAGGGCGACTGGAAGGTTGTCGGCAAGCAGCGGCCCAAGCGGAAGAGCCCGTCGCCAGGTGAGACGGTGCCAAAAATTCGGACGAGTGAGCAAAAAGGCCGGAAGGTCCAGCCCGTTGGGCAAATGGTGGAGATCGGAGGCCGGAAGGTCGAGACCCATGAGCCAAGGGTCAGATCACAGGTGCACATAAGGACACCTAGTGAGCCGGAGCAAAGTAGAGACGAGTCGCTCACGGAAAGCGCTCGTGCTGTGTGCGGCCCTAGTCCGGAAAGGCCGAAAGTTCATGATTGGAGTCCCCAGAGACCCGCATTACCGGAGTGGGGACCGGGGGAGAGCACCAGGGTGCTGGAATTTATTCCGGACACTGGTACGCTATATAGCCGGCAACCACCATGCCGTGCTATGTGGACAAAGTTCCACAGTGATCTTGTGGACGAGTTGGACGAAGGCTAGCAAATGGCTGCCGAACATTTTGGAGAAAAATTAACCACCGCGAGATTAGTGAGAATCTAAAGGTGGTACGGTCCTGGGATGGCAGACCAAATAGCCAGAGAGGACCCCAAATGGCCTGAAAAAATGGTTTTCGCGCTCAGGCACATCCCTGAACCATGGGACTTGAGCGAGGGAACGCCGGAAAGGCCAGATCCCAACGATCCCAATGAGCGGTGGGTAGAGATCTCCGAATTGTCATTCTCATCTTGCGCTTTCCCGTTGCCGGGAGATATGTCGACGCGGGCGCAAGTGCATAGAATGGAAAAAGAGAGACAACATATGCGAAATTGAGATCGATTCGCTCGTGCAAAGAAGTTGGATGAAAGGAAGGCGCGAAAAGCCAGCCAGCGCAGAGAGAAGAAAGCCTTTTGGCGTGAGCGAGATCGGCAGTTAAATCTGCAAAAATATGAGTGGAAGAGAGCTCACAAACGCCAGCGTAAGGCTGAGATCAGGCGGTTTTTAGCTGCAGGAGGCAGCCAAAAGGCGCAGCGCCTTGAGGCGAAGCCGGCGGCCGACGAGCTGGATCCAGCCCAACAAGCGAAAGCTTTCGCTGAGCTGGAAAGGGCCCCGCTGCGGCAAACAGCCAGATGGGCTAATGAGTCGAGTGGAAGCGATAGTGGTGTGACTCACCCCGCTCGATTCATCCCTCTACAGCCTGGAAAGGCATCGCCTCCAGTTGAGGAGACTCCAGTCCCCAAGGAGGCAATATATTCTAAGGAGAAGAAG